TCTGCGCTGATAAATAATACTAAATAAATACAATATAGGGACTAACCGTTTTTTCCTTTCGATGTACCATTCTTCACATTGGTGTTGCCTTCTTGATCTCATTTCCAACATTTTTATTTGAATCTTAGATAATGATAATTTATCCAAGTATTCGCGTTTATACTCTTCAATTTGACTATCAGTTAAATCTGAGAACGGGTCATGTAATACATTTCCGTAATCTTCATCTGGTCCGGTATAAGTCAGTGGTTTGACAACAGTTTTTATACGCTCAGATGTTTTAAAAAGGAAACGACGTCGGTGATTATTTTCAATCCTCCTCACATTTTTTTTTATGTAATGTTTAGTATACATTCCAGGGCTTTTGTCAGTTATTTGTTTATTAAACGAAGATAGACGATTTGCCCCTTCGTTGTAAGCTGTAACTGCCGCATTACATCGAAATTCATAAGAACCTAAACATTTAAAAGTGTTTAAAATTAAAAGGTGAATAATCAATAAAGTGATTACTATTACCTGGGTGGGTCAATATATACTAAATGTAAATATGTTGTTTATAGGCCCTTTTTGCCACTACTAAATACAATTTGTGTGATATTAGATTCTAATATAAGTTTAAATTTTGAAAAGATGAAAAAATAAAACATGAAATAAGACGAAAATTAAAGTAATACCTTTGTGAGAAAAGTTGACCCGTTTTCCACCGATAAATTTGGCCAAGATTAAGTTCTATAGTTCTACCGCATTATTATTAAAATTATACATTAGACTTTCAGTGTGGTAGGTTAATAAATTTCTAGCACGTGTAATATCACCCCATAATTCAAATTGTTTTAGTTTATCGACAAGATTATCTTCACCTCTATAATTATTAACAATATAATATACTATCTGTATATTTACTTAACATATTTATAAATTATAAAATATTTTATACTAGTTATATATTCAATAATCTTACCTTCTTTTGTGCCCTGACAGAAGTACTTTCTACATTTTGTATGATCTCCGAATACACGGTTGGGCCCATTTACCAAATCTGATTTTAGATCCATTAATCGGGTTTCATACAGTATATTTTTCTGAAGTTGTCGATTATATTTTACAGCCTCGGTGACAGCGTACCGTAATCGTAACAGACGAGTTTGAATACTGTTTCTGAGATAACCAGGTATTCGCTCTCCTTTAGAATTTTTTCGTTTGTTTGTCAAATCTCTTAATCGGTTAATGTAGTTTCGCAATAAATGGTTGATGCATTCAACTTTTTTTATTATAAAATTAGATCCATAAGGTTTAGCAATGCGTAAACGTTTCATAACGCTGCTATCACCATCACCTAAAAAATTAAATATAAAACGTCTTAGAATCGAGGCAAAATTAATATTATGTAGTACAAAAAATTTTTTTATCATACCAATTAGCTGTGAATAAATAAGATTGTGCATCTCTAAACTATGTTTAAACCCATCGACAATTATGTCTGCTTCCATAGCTGTGGAAGGTCCATTCCAATTCAAAAAACAATGATGAGGCCCTGTTTTTTTATCATGCTTTTTGGCCGAAAAACACACACAACAGAATTTATTTCTCACGCCGAAAAAAATAACTTTTTTAGTAACTGCTACAATAATACAAGCCTATTTGAAATCTAAAATTATTAATTAATTTTATTGTTTATTCACATTTTATAAATTATAAAATGTAATACTTACAACACCAGATAATGCATTATAATTCGTTCTATAAGAGCGTTTACTCCAAGCACCATCGACTACAACAGCTATTTTAGGACGACCATACTGGTCTACATCGCCCCTTTCAATAGCTAGCCTACCTTCTTCTTTCCCTGCTAATAACATTCCTTCCAAAGCAATTTTGTGAGTGTAATGAAACACTTTTGAGTGCATTTCTTGGTACATCCTATTAGAAATTACCGGCATATTCAAAGTTGCAGCAAATTCTTCAAGTTGAGTATATCCTTGACCAGTATTTACGACGGCAGATACGATGGCCATATTAGCATTTATATTTATGTTATCAGAAGGATTTTCACTATTAATATTTTCTATTGAGCCACATACTTTGCAAGTAAAACAAAAAGTACTGCAAAATCCTTTCTTCTTTTCTTTGGTAAAATCCAAGTCACGAAATGTACAATCAAACCCTTGATGTTTTATTGATTGAATAGACTCAAAAATATATTTAATATTTACTAATCTTCTTCCATTCAGACTATCAAATGAGCTATTTATTTCTGAAATATTATTTTCCTGAGCAACTATTTCAGTTAATATTCTATTCACCGAAGTAGAAGAAAATAACGATTTTGTTTGAAATGTGAAGTTATCATTGTACAAAGATTCTACAGCGTTTAAATCGTTAGTATTATTCCTATGCACAAATAAAAAAATCACAAAAAATTAAATCTGAACCAGCTATTTCGTAAACTTTAATATTTTTGTATAAAAATAAGTATTATGTGTCTTTTACAGTAATTGGAAATAACTAGCTGAAATTCGAATAATATAATGATTTTCTATAATTATCTGTATTTCTTTATTACAGTTTTAAAGTTTTATTACCACCCTCGCTAGATTTTTTTTTTTTTTTTGTATATATGCCTGGATGCAAGTGATACAAAACATGTGCCATAACAGCTCAAATATATTAAATTACGAACAAAAAATTAAATATTTTATAAGTTACATCTTTTCGTTTGTTATTATAGCCGTCGATAATAATAAATAATAATATAGGCATATCATAGAATATTAGTATATATAACTACTACCTGATGCGTTCTACAACTGTCGCCTGTAATTTTACAATGAATAATATCCATAATAATTAATGTTTAACTTACCGAGTCACAGTAGTGAGTTCTATATTGTTATCTGTCAAAACATTTTCAGATTGTGGTAAATATGTATTTTCCTGTTCCGATTAAAATATAAGAATACAGTCTGACAAATCTTTAATTTTTAGAATATTACTAAACATTTTATATTTATATAATTACCTGATCACTGCAGTTATTATGTATATCACTTTTTTTATTCTGTAAATTTTTCAATCGATGTTTTTTCATTTTAAGTGCACTTAACTTACGTCTAGCTTTTCTCCCATAATGCCAATCTTTACCCATTTTATAAATAAAATTAAAAAGAACACAAAACTTACAGACAATATTACTGATCGGCGTGTTGTGTTGAAATTTGAAATCAAATGATTCATAAATCATAGATACTAATTGTAGTATTATTATAATAATATGTGGGTTATATTAAATTTGGAAAAATATAATTATTATTATTGTCATTTTTCGCCTATTAGCTATGTCTAATAATCCTTATCGACTAATTTGTTTCCGACTTTCCGAGAATCAATCACGGCCCGTCACGGTCGGCAGCCGCGAGCCACCGCCGAAATAAACTCTCGCACGCGCAGTCACAGGTCAATACTTTACGAAAAATGAAATATATTCATGTTTGCATTGCTATAAAAACTACTAAAAGCGGTAGTAAATTAAATATACTTCCTGAAGTCCGACTGTAATTTTGAAAAAATGGTTGAATTTATAAACTTCTAGACTATGCTCTTTAGGATCAATTTTTTGATTTAACATTAGATGTGCCCAAAATAAATACAATTGCAATGCAATTATTTCAAAAGATTTTTTAAAAAAATATCGTTATTTTAAGGTCCTCTAAAATTGAAAATTGAAAATCGACTTCCTAAATAACCTAAATATTTTGTCAAAGAGTTCATACATGTATAAAAAATTAAAATCGGACATTCCAAAGTATGTGTAATTTACTACAGCTTATTGGTCTAAAACGCATGAAAAATACGTCTGCTGCGATCCCCTTAATCGGAAATCGTGACAAACATTTGGTCTTTCGAACCAGATAAATAATTAATTATATCTGATAATACTCGCTGTTAGATTGTAAAATTATTATTATTGTAGTATTTACTGCGAGATATTATTATTTATTCATCGTATTAGCATAGAGGAAAAGAGGAGAAAGATATAAAAATTATAATTTATTGCTATTGTTATAAAAAAGAAATATTTTAAAAGTTTCAAATTGCATGTTATTGCAAACGTTGATGTCGGTAATATCAAAATTTCTAATTAAAAAATACTATTCAAATTTTAGAAAGTTTCAATAAATCAATAAGTAAGTGATATTGTGTATATTTATGTTGAAATGTTAGTATAATCAATACATTTACCAACGATGGATTAAGTTATTTATACTTCTTTGTTTGATTTGAAAACTATAACGTTGATTTGTTCATTAGTTCTTGATAGATTGCTTTTATCGTTAATAGATTTAGTTATTTTTGCTTGATGGATTTGCAATTTTTTATTACTAACTAGACAAAGTGGTGTATTCGTAAATTCAGTTAAATAAAAAAAATAGATAATTTACTTAAACGTAAACAAGAATAAATTATACTAGAACCGTTTTTTTTATTTTATGTTATTAAAATATAAAAGAACCTGAGGCAATTTAATTAATGCCATTAATATTACAAAATTTTTTATTTTAAAAATATTTTTTTGTATCTTGAAGCCAAAAACCCAAGTGAGTGTTAAAATACTTAATTATAGTCATTAAAACTCGAAGTAAATATCATTAAAAAAAAAAATAAATAATATGTATTAATGTTTATAAAAAAATAATAGTACTTTTATTTACAGTTAATATTAATATTTTATAAGAAACTTGAATTGTTTGTAAAAGTTAAAAAATCTAATTATTATTAAAAAAAAAATATTGGTAATAATAATATAATACAAGGATATGTCGAAAAAACAGTACGCGAATGTTTAATAAACATTTTAGTTAATATAGAATAATAATGAATACTTAGTTGATGGATATTATCTTTAACCATTTCTTTTTCCCTAAGTTCAAAGGCGTAAATTATTTATTAATTATTTTAGAATAATTAAATACCTAATATTGTTGTTATTTTTACTACAGAATATAGTTTTGAAGCATTAGATATTCCATACGGTAAGTACAAATACAATACTTAATATGGCAATATAGTTTTATAAATATAGATTTATATAAAACAAGCAAAGATATGCGTATCGTTCCATTTCTACTCTAAATATCATTATTTGGATACATTTTCTAGTTAAAAATGTTCAATTATACTTATTAAATTAATTCTGTAAGTGTTGTATTGCAATTAATCAGGCTGATATAGGAAACGATGGAGTGGTGCGCACCACTCAATTAGAATTTTTAACATCTTTTTTTTATTGTTTTAATGATACAATAAAACTATAAATAGTGATTATATTTAAAGTATCACTCCATAATTTAAGATTGATTTTTTTAATGATATTTTTTTTATTATTCATTCTTCAAAAGAAAATTTCGAAATAACAACAACAAACGATATAAGTAAGTATAGATCAATTAATTTATTTTACATTATTTTTTATGTTATTTACAATGTTTTTTTTATAATACTTATGGAACTATAAAGATTGCAAACGATCTATCTTATTCATTGATATGAATATGTATATATGTTGATATTTAAATCAAAGTCGTTGATTATTGTTGTTTGATTTTGAACAAATCTTGAGTACCCCTATATTATTATAAAAATAGTCGACATTTTAGAACACAGTTTTATGTGATATTTTTTTTTACTCGTAAAATATTTTTAAATTTAATAAATAGAACAACTCAATATCAAAATTAACTTCCTAAGATCAATACATGGAATTCGAATCAACGGTTTACTCAATAATACTTAGTGATTATTTTTTTGATAATTGATGAATAAATCATGTAAAATTTTAAAACAAGGATTATATTTTATATTATAATGATTAATCATTAATTATGAACAGCTGGTTTTAAACTTGAGTACTACGAGATATTCAGTGAGTACAAACTTATATTACAATAGAAATAAATAATGTTAATTTATTTTAGTTAACAGTTGGTATTCGTAGCAAAATGGACGTTGATCGTTTATGGTGTTGTCGTATCTAAATTTTGTAGTAGTGATTTTTTAAATAATTAAAATTCAAGTAATTATGTTGATGTGCTCTATTTCTAACGACGAAATTTACGATAGTGAAGATATTAAATGCAAAAAGTGTAAAATGTTTTTATCTATTCATGCACAGGTATTAGACAAGCCAATTTCAGAAAAATGAGTTCTTCAAACCAAGTAAAATGGTGTTGTGGAAATTGCAAAGATTTTATTTTGTTTAGTAGTTATGATATAATGGTGTTTGTTGAATCTGGTTTATAATCTATCTTAATATAAGAAAACAAATTACAGATACTAATAAGGTTTTAGTATATGAATTTTAAGAAAGTAATTAAGTAGTTAAATATTAAAAAACTGTATTAAAACTTCAACAAAACAAATGTTCATGCTTTTTTCAATAAATAACTTTTTACCACCTCTTGAAGAAACTACATTACATGAATATTCAAATGGATCAAACTGTTACTATCTAAAATTCAGTATTGTCAATAGAATAAAATATTTAGGATTGGCATTCGATTGTAACCTTAAATGGTACGTTCATATAAATAGTTTGATAGTAATATTGCAATTTTGAATAATTAAATTTCATAAATCAAAATATATTATGCAATACTACATGGTAATTTGGGGCGGTACCTCTAAAAATGTTTTAGATCCATTGAGGGTTCTTGATTACTTTGACATTATAGATGTGATTTAGTAGACATTTATTTCTTAACTTGACTTCCCTTGAGTTACATTGTATATCTCTTTACTGCTTATTGGATCGATATTTGAATCTATCCCCTTCAAACTATCTTGCACTATTATCTCTTAGTGCCATAGTAAATGATGATGGGGAGATTTTCCAGTATTTGAACGTCACACACCAGATTCTAAGAGAAAAAATAAAATAAAGAAATAAAATTAATTTTGTCAAATAATTATTAGAATGTCAAACAGGATAATAAATTTTAGTTATATGTAAAAAACAATAAATATGTAATATATACCTATAAAAACAAATTCATAAGCATTTAGCAGTATTTATAGTCAAATAACATAACATATACAAACGACCTTAATTAATAATATAATGATATAATTCGTTAAATAATACAACAAATTAACTGTTGAAATAAACAAGAAACCATATATATAATGTATGTAAGATTCCACACACTAAAGTTAAGTAGTCACTCATTTCTTTGTATTAAATGCTTATCACACATATTTTTTTCAAATGTAGTGGTAATATAAGTCTTTACATACATGTAAAATGTATAAGTCAGTTAGTCGAGTTATACGGCCCGTTCTCAGTATACGTTCTATGATTTAATATTATAGTACATTTTATATTACAAACATATTTTATTCTTATTAACCTTTTTCCATAAATGACTATGCTTAACTAACTTTTTTCATAACGTAAAATATAATCATTAGATTAAACTATTCAAGTATAACAGCGTTATTCAAACGTGAAAATGTATCAACAACCCTGTTTAAATCTATTTTAGAGACGTAGAATGCTTTTAATATCAATTATTATCAATAGGTCAATTAACCTTTCATCATTTATCACCCATGGTTAATCTTAAATAATTGTTAACTCTTTTAAGAAATCAAGAAAATGTCTCATTTGTAGTTGTTGCTACTAGCAAAAAAATTGAGATTGAGATTATTTTTAATTTATTAAAATACGTATTATGCACTTTATTAAATATTCGTAAAATACTATAAAGATCCCTGTTTTCAAAGATTTCTTTAATACATTATGTTTTAGTACTTAAAAAATATGAGGATAAAAGATTATTGTCAATTTTGAAATACAAATAGAGATCAAAAAAGTGTATTGAAAAAATTTAATTTGGATTAAAAAATGCTATTATTTTCTTATGAGTCACACTATTTTAACTAAGGATAATTGATAATTGAAAGTTTAAACACTCCCGCGCTTCAATATATATATATATATATACAAATCGGGTTGAATTATTAGATTGAGTTATTGTTTTGTATAATAAATATTTCTAATAAATAAAATATTTAATTATTATTTACGTTTAACGCTTGACAAAGACGTTTATCTCAAGAACTTGGTATAAATTATATGTTGGAGAGACTTAAATTAATGTATTGGTGAGCCCATAACTTAGTAGTTACTTTGAAAAATATTACTACTAAACAACAAAATACTAACACTATACAAAAAAATAAAATATATTTAAAGATGAAAGAATACATTTTTTTTTTTGTGCTTACAGGAAAATCTTTAATTTTAGACGATACTTTTTGTAAGTATTTTTATGATTGCATACTTTATAAAAAAATTTATTACACAAAGAACTTTTTCGTTAATTTTACTTATTTGTTAGAGAAAAAACGGTATTATTTACAAAGAAAGTTGATTCTTAAAATATTAGTTCATCTTATTCATTAAGTTTAAGAATCGGTATAATAAATGTACATCTGCCTCAGCTTTCCTTTGGACTTTGCAATTTATATCCTTATATGATTTGGACCATATCATAAAAAGACCTAGAAGCACGTTGGACGGTTGCTATAAATTTTCCTAGAACTTTTTCGCAATTGGGGAAATCGGTTGGACTACGTGATACAAATACAATCTTAAACTCCCTAAAGATAAGGTTAATGTTGCTGACGAACGTTTTAACTATCATCTAGAGTGAATCCCAGTACGTAAAATCGAATATTGTGTGTTTCGTGGTATCCAAGGGATGTTTACTGTACAGGAACGCCACGTTGGGGTGCGCTTAATCCGGTTCAGGTACTGCCTAAAATACCCGTGTCCTGTAAGTGCCTGGGTTACACGAAACTTTAGATATTTAGGAAGTCTTAAGTCGTTTCACCTATCTTCCCAAGTCCGGAAAGATCCTGGATGGTCGGGCCACGACTTCACCTATTGGACAGAGCAGCAAGGAGGATGTCATTCTCTGATTGTCGCATCTCAACCTCGAAATCAATCCTACCAGGTTCATCAAGCTTGCTTCGAAATCTTTTCCTTTCCATTACTAGGAGATATCCCGAACTAGTTTCTACTAAAATTATGCTGCCTCAGTCGAAACGGTTTCCCGCATCACTCTAAGAGTTCTCTAAGCTCAATTCTGTGTGTTCGTGTCAGAATTAGATCACCTGGCACTTGTTCATTCAAAAGTCCAATTTTTAATGTTATCACTTTATCAGAAATCCTAACCTAAACTAACCCAGTGAATAATTTGATCACAAACGTGACTACACAGTTTGAAGCAATTCTAATCAATGATTTCCATGTACTCTAGTATTTAGAATTGCTATATGTGTCTTTTGTATATTCATGGATTAGCGAGAGACAGCAGTATAAATCTCGATGCAATAATTAAAAATACATTGGGAATACTCAATTAATTAAATTTCTCTAGGTGTTATTTTACTGGTGCATTTTTTAATAATACTTGATGTAAACTATTAATCCACGTTATAATAATATTTGTGATAATAGCACTACTACAGTTAAATCTGACTGCCAGATCAAAATCTGGAAATTATGCCTCAACTTTATTTAGGTTATGATTATTTGAACTTCATTGTTAATGCTTTCAACGGACCACGTTAAATTATTCAATATTCAATGGTTTTACTAAATTATAAAAAGCATCAAATACTGAATTTGAAAGCAAACCAATGAAATAATTCAACAGTTCATAATTTTAACTAAATTTAGCATAATGCATTTCATTCGTAAATGTCTTAGTCCAATTTGCTAGTAAGCTGTTCCGTACATAGTTTTTTTGGATGCAGTAGATAGCTCTTGTAAACTCTTGTAAATTCGTTTGCTAAACATTTTTGTTCTGTTTACTTTTCAAAATCAATTATTTCTAACCTTCAACCTATCAAAATACCATTTTTTGATTTACCAAAAACTGTTACTTCACCCCTGACGATGTCCTCCTCAAGCTAAATTGTCTAAAAAATGTGTTTGCTGAAGATTTCCTCTATACAACAAACCACATTATTTTATATCCTTGTTGATCTCTTGATGAAAGTACTTTCCCTAAAATGTGGAAAATCGGTCATGTTACTTTCATTTAAAATCCAGGTAGTTCCTCTTTAGTCATCAATTATAGACCAGTTCAAATTCTAAGACATATTTCTAATCTTTTTGAGTCCTTAGTCTTAGACTCAATTCAGTCTTCGGTTAAACTGAATTTAGCCAACGAACAACTCGGTTTTCGTCCAGGAAGATTTACGGTATCTTATAACCTCTTCTTTTGTAAATACATACTTGATTTTTTACTGAGTGATCACAAGTTTAAGTCATCTTTACCGACTTAACTAAGGTGATTGATTCAATAAATCATAAGATTCTTATTTCTTTATTCGGTGCTTTTGAATTTGGCGATCCTATCCTTTCTTGGTTGAATTCATTTTTATCAAGTATATCAATATGGGTTTATGTAACTCAAAATCTGATATATTTCTATCTACTTCTGGTGTCCTCAAGTTGGTCATCTAGGCTAGTGACATGAAGATTTTCCTTAAGAATTTTACTGGTGGTGACTGTCTCAAACTCCAGGGTGATCATTACAATTTTTCTGCCTAAGCTGAAACTTTCGGTCCTACATTAAAAGTAAAATATTCCAATCAATGACATTCAATATAATTCATTCCTTATAACTAGCTCTTATACTTGAACAGCTCTAATTTGATTCCCTTTGATTCTAGCATTTGTGATCTTCACTTTACTTTTACTCCCTATCTTTGTTCTCGCGCCCAAATCGATATAATTACTTGCAAGGCTTTAAAAGTAATGTGTTTTGTTAAAAGAATATCTGGTAATTTTAAACTCACAATCTCTCTTAAACCCTGACTTATCCTAATCTGATTGAGATCAGATGATGCCAGTTTACAACTCAGACGGTTCAGCGTAAATTCCTATGTTATATGAACCACGTTTTGAATGTAAACAACGAACTCATGATTATACTCTACCATTATTTCTAAATTTTTTATCGTATTTTATTTCACTTGTTTTTATGTTCCGCACTTATAATAAGTATCATATTGTTATTTTTTTGTCAACTTTACACCATTACTGTAACTCGGGCTAAAGCATGTTTTATACTACAACTTGAATATCAAGATGAATAATAACACTAGTTCTATGTTTAAATAAACTTTTTTTTGTTACCAAACCTAATAGTTATTGTTTTAATTTATTTTATTTTTAAAATGAGATTTTTAAGTAATTTTCATTCAGTTATCTTATTTTTTATTTACATGTACGAAAAACTTAAAAATAAAATAATAAAAATGAATAATTTTTTTTTCTCATATATATTATTAATAAACTTTAATAACTATTGAAACAGAAAAAAACATAGAATTCTATTGATAAAGACCACCACTATGAAACTGCAAATTTCACGTTCAATATCTATCACTACCTATCTAATGCATTTTTGTAAATGAAATAACAATGGGAAAATTAATTTCACTTTTTTTAATATGTATTTATCAATTATATAAACCAGTGTTTTATTTTATTTTCAGCAATAAAAAAACTTTGGGGTGAAGCTCTTGATATGTCAACTGACACGTACATCATTAAATTTCATAACCAATTAATACACAATGTAAGTACTATTGTTTATATTATTAATAATTAAAACGTCTAATTTTTTATAAAAAAAAAACAAATGTGTGGTTTTCTATATATAACTTTTTTGAGCTTAAAACACAATTAGAAAAAAATGTCAACTAGTTCATTCTGAGTCTCCAATTCCTAAAAACAGAATTCTGGGCAAACCGTTTATGGTTGAAATCGAAATTATTATGAATTACCAGACTAATAAAATTATTATTCCGGACGAGTCAGAAATCTTCATAGAACCTTGTGCAGAAACTCTTGTAGAAGTTAAATCACACCATCGAGTAGTGGACAATATTCTAATAATAAACCAAGAAGTCATAAGTTCAGTCATGTATGCCGTTACAAAAATAAAAATTTAAAACGCCTTGGCATCATTTATCAGTCCAACAGAGAATAGAATTAACAATAAGGCGTCGGATCTAAAGAACTTATACATGATGAGTTTCGGGAGGCGTCAATACATGCAATATACAACGAATTTCAGGAAGAAAATCGTTTGAATGTTATGGGCTACGAGATACATTGTTAAATCTAAGTATATATAATATAATGTATAATATTGCTAATATAAGTATTAGCATGACCATGACACGTGTTTGGGAGTAAACATATTCTTATAGACCATAACACAAAATAGTAGATACATATTATTATGAATCTCGTTGTATTAAGATCATAATGCATTTCGGATATAATTATCTACTTCTCAACAACATAATAACACACATGGCAATAGTGCATTACGCATGCCGAGGTCGAGTGAAATGCATTATCAAAACAAATGGAAATCAAGGCTATGGACTACAATAACAAGAAGCTTTTCATATATAAGGGAGCCCAGAGACCAGCAACAGCAGATGTACCAGAGCCACGAAGACTTGAGCACCTTCACAACATTCAGCTACTTTTTGTATCAGTAACATGAACTTTATTTATACGTAATAAACACATTATTGTTCTTAACAGTAATTTTTATTTAAAATAACACCCTGAACTTGAATCTGATATTGGCACGCAACAGGACGCTGCAATAATAAATCAATTGGTGAAAGCATTGCGCATGGATCATTTAAACTCTGAGGAAAAAGAGTCATTGGAAACGATCTGTAATAAATATTCTGACGTATTCTTTTTAGAAGTCGACAAACTCGCAGCAACGACAGCAGTTTCCCACGAGATCAAGACGTCCGAGTTTGCCACACCAATATACGTGATGCCTTACCGTTACCACAGTGACATCGTCAGGAAATCGGGGAACAGATGGAAATCCTTGAAAAGGAAGGTGTAATTGCGCCCAGCGAGTCACTTTCGAACCCTCCGCTCTTAATCGTTCCGAAGAAACCCGATGTTAATGGAAACGTTAAGTGTGGTATAACCTTCCGTATCTCGTTGTCTGTGCAAAATTTAGTGTTGTACGTCCATAACATGTTATGTGATTTAATTAATAAAACGTAATAATGTATTCATTGTCGCAAAATCTAAAAATGTACAATCAAAATGTATTTAGCTATTTTGAGTACTTATAAAAAAAATTCTAATTAATACTGTTATTTTCTCCAACACCGTATTTACCTTGATTGGGGAAGTACGCAGCGATATATTATATTTTATATCATAATTTGGATTTAGTAACAACAAAAATTTATATAATAAATTATATTATTGTATAGATATTGATAAAACTTATTTAAAAATGTGCTTTACGCCATGTTCAAATAAAATATATCGAGGTACTTATATTAAAAAAAAAATTCTTTTAGACAAAACAACCATCATCTTATGAAGAGGGTATGGTATTTATTCAATCGTACTATAAGGCAGCAAGTATATATTATTTTTATCAGAACTATGAATTCGCATTTAAGGTGATCAACGATGGTAAATATAATGTTTTGAATTCGTGATTTGAGTTACCTTATTAAACTACTACAACTTTTTATTAGTATATTATTATTTTAATTCGTTGAATCTCCTATCGATTGGTAAATTGTTCACTTCAAATATTTTATGTATTTGTGTTAGAATTTGATTTATTATCATAAGCATATATATTTTTTTTTAACATAAATTTAATATTATTAAACACGAGACTTGTGTTTTCAGGTTTGAAATATATCGATTCAATAAAAAAATATTTAGTTTCTACAAATCAATATGACAAACAAAACAAACATGTACATGTGTGGCGTACACTATTAAAGACATTGAAATTAGATATAATGAAACATATAACGAGTATTTCTGTCCAAGATATAGAGAGAGCAGATCATGAATTATCAGAAGAAGAAAATAAATTTAATGTTCCAGAATATGGATCGTTTCCCAGTTCAGCAGTATTATTGTTTCGAAAATATTTTTTAGACATAGTCAGTATATTCAATTTATATAATATCTATAAATATTATTAAATAGCACTAATTATCATACTTCTTCTCTTTTTTAATATCTGAATAATAGTATTATATACTTATTTGGTATTATTTCAATAACCGATAACTAATGGTTTAAAAATATAGATGGAATAAAACTAAGTTAATCGGTTAATTATATAGCAAAAAAAAATCATACTTTTTTTTATTCTATTGACTGGGGTCTGGGAATGTCAAAAGCTTTTACCAAGTTTACAAAAAAGTTTATTAGAAGCATTTAATTGTATGTAATTTTATAATACATTAATTCTCTCCTTCTTCGACAATGAAAAAACATAATATATTTATATAAATGATATTTTTAACGTAATGTTTAAATTGAATTCTTGTATAATCCTTATGATAAACAATTAGCTGACTGTAAAATATTTTAAATTTTTTATTGGACTTAATTGATTAATCATAAACAACACTTTCTTAAGAAATAAAAAAAAATAACTATTAACTGTTATGTACGTAAATGTATGGTTATGTAGTAAACATTGAAATATACATTTTACAAACCATATTCATATATTATACCAATTATGATTATAATTTTTAAAAAAAATTAAAAGTTGAGTGCTTACGACACTAGGTTAAATTTTGGAGTTTAATTTTAACAATATTTAAACTTAAATTTGAAGTTATTTTTATTTGAACATTCCATTTTGGAAAAATTCAACCGTATGATCTTAAAATAAAATAAGGAATACTTCACATGCAATATTTTATTTTATTTAATAGTATGGAAAATAGTTATATTAGCTTTTTCCAACTCGACAAATATTAAAAACGATCGCTACTAATTATATAGTTTGATAACATATAATGTAAATAATTATATAGAGAAATTAAATGAATAGTAATGAATAGGTATAACATACTAAAAAGATAGGCATATCACATAAATATCTTTTTAAAAATTTTTAATTCGTTATGGATAGTAGAAAATAATTTTATGGAATTTTTTTTTTATTAACCTCGATTAATTAAAAAACCTGAAAGTCCTTAAAAATAGGTCATTAATTAGTTTGATCTAAAGTTTAATGCAGGCGCGGACTGGTAAAAAAGGACATTGGATACTACATAATTTAAAGGGCAAATTTAAAATATGAAAATATTTTATTTTGTTTTAATAAAATATTGATAATACAAAAAAAAAAAGCCTAAATAGGTATGTACCAAGTTACAATAAAAACAATCAAAAAAAAAATTGTACAATATTAGATTACAGTTGTATTGTAAAAAATTGAAAATAAATTTATGGTCTGTAATTAAACATTCGAGATTTATATTTAATTATTAAATTAACATTTAAAACATAAGTATGAGATACTTACCAAATTTATAATATTTTACCCAGGAAGTCTGAACTTTCAAATGTTTTTTTTTATGATATAGTTATAGTCAGGAATAAGATCATGTTCAGTATTTATTAACATTAATGCAATTAACAGTTCTTCAGAAAGAGTACTTCTTAGTCTATTCTTGATAATTTTCAATTTGGAGAAAGATCGTTCACAATGAACTTGGATACAAGCTAATGTCAGCACAAATTTATATAATAAGTACACTTAAGAATATGCTGAAGAATGTAAATTGAATTTCCACAATATTTTAAACACGCGTGGTAAACAAAATTGAAAATCATCTAGTTTGTTATTAGGTGTTGATTCATTTTCATCAGAAACTTGATGATCTAAAAAATAATAAATAATATTTTTACATTCTTAAGTAAATATATGTTTTGAGTATATTACCATTACCTTAATTCGAATCAGTTTCAGAATCATTGAATTTTGGTGGAATAATTGCATTTCCAATACTAGCATTGATTATTGTGTTAAAAGATAATGAAAAATTACACAGTTCACTTATTACTTCTTCAAATTGTTATTTCGCTTTTACTCAAAGGAATTCAAGTGCACCATTTATGATAATAAAATTAATAATTAGTATTTTCCCCCAAAGGGACACTGCGTGTCACTTTACATCTAGTGTTACGGGCTTAACGAACCCGGGCCCCGAGTTGAGGCGTAAGGAAATCGGAAAACCCATCGCCCAGTGCTAATTTCACTGCAATAGCCCCCACCTTACTTTAACTGGTTGGGTTGGCATGATCCTCTAAGTTGGAGGTTGAGCGATGGGCTAACAACCCATCCTCGGAAAAAAACATTGTTAAGAAACAACCAACACAAAAGTCTCGGAAAAATGTGGAGATACAGGATCGGAACACTGACAACAGTAGTATCTGAACTGGACAGATTCGGACTGGCTATATTAACAATCCAAGAAACTAGATGTGCCGGATCTGGCAACCACAAATCAGAGAAAGCAACTTTATTCTACAGCGGGGGATTAGGACACGAAAAGGAAGTTGGTTTCGTAATCAGAGACAGGATACTTAACAACATTAAGCGATTTGAGTCAATTAACGATAGACTAAATCTCTTGGAAATCCAAGCAAAATGGTCCAATATAATATTGATCAATTGCTATGCTCCAACTGAGGACAAAAACGAAGAGATAAAAACAACTAGAACCGCTATGTGACACAATACCTCAAAACATGGTCAAAATTGTACTGGGTGACTTTAATGCGAAAATGAGGAAAGAAATATGTTACAAACCGACGATTGGACAACAATGCCTCCATAACAACTCGAACGACAACGGAGTTAGAGTAATATCTTTTGAAACATTCAAGGGGATGGCCATAAGCAGTACTTTCTTTCCACATAAACAAATCCATAAACAGACGTGGATGTCCCCCTGATGGAACAACCAAGAATCAAATTGATCATGTCATGATTGACTCCAGAAGAAAACACTGCATAACAGATGTAAAAAGCTGTAAAGGCGTATTTGGGATATCAGACCACTTTCTAGTACAAATCCAAATATAACTCAGATTGTCGGTAAAGTGGAGAGAAAAGAAAAGAGTTACCCAGAAGTTCAATGTTGATAAATTAAAAGAAAACGCAAACCTGCACAATTACATAGAAACAATAGATAAACATCTGAACAACGATAACAACACTGAGATTGATCGATTATGGGGGAAACTAGAAAAAACAATCAAACAAGCAGCGAAAGATTTACTAGGTTTTGAGGAGAGAAGCAAACCTAAAAAGTGGTTCAATGACAGATGCAGAAGAGCTCTTGAAGAACGAGATGCTGCCAGAATTGCATTAATAAAAACCCCCAACGAATCTAACCGATGAACCTTAGCAATCAAACAACAAGATACCAAGAAGATAATAAAAACCAAAAAGAAACAATGGGAAAAGAGCTACATCAACGACATAGAGAAAAATTTTAAAAGTCACATAAAAATTTCATATAAAAAAACGAATAACTTAAAAAATAGAAACAAACCAAGAGAGACAATCCTAAAAAAAACCAGACGTCACATTGATCACAGATAAAAGCGAAATAACTGAAAAACTCAGAGAAATGTTTGAAACGTTACTACTTACAACAAGAACCTATCCTAACCTATTTTCTAGATAAATATACGACAAGAGTAGAAAAAATGATACATTAACTAACAACGGAAGAAATAGAAATTATAAACAGGCATATGTCTCTATTAATTGGGAAAGTCTATGGAATGTCATGGAAAAGTTTGGGTTACCAGCAAAAATCAAAAGAATGAAAAAAGCATGTATTCAATACTCCAAATGTATAGTCAAATTTAACAGCCAACTAACGAAGGCATTCCTGACCATCACAGGACTGAAACAGGGAGATGCACTCTCGCCAATGCTCTTTAACAATGCGCTGGAAGAAGTGGTTAGAAAGGTATTAAAATCCGGTATAGGAGTTAAACTGCAAGAATATAAGTCTATCAAACTATTAGCATACGCTGATGACATAGTATTACTGTCCAAATCTAGTTTTCAAATAAAATGCCTTTCCATTTATTAGCTCTTTTATAAGACTCAGAAAAAAATATCGCTGTGTTTGTTAGAAGACCAAATAAATTTTGAGCAATATTACACTTGGTAACCTAACCTAATCTATAACTAAGTTTAACACTTGTACATAACAGTGTATAAATATCAAATCAGGTGCATCATTCTTAAAATATTTTTGTAATACATTATACTCTCCGATCATATACGCTTGTACCGTCATAAGACTGGCCGATCAGATTTCTTCAATGTTCAATGTTTTTAAAACATTTTTCACTATTTCATATTGATCTTTCCCAGTAGATGATTTAATTGAAATCATGGTCAATAATCGTTCTTTAACATATCCTTGGTATACATAACGAACACAAATACTCGATTGATCAGTTACTGAAATATCTTGAGTGGAATCCACTTTCAGAGAAAATTTTTTTAATATTTACTACTACACCACTAACAAATGTATTTGATAAATCAACTGAAAATGCCATGCAAGTACTACGATATATTTATTTTGTAAACGTTCAATATGAAACAATATCATCATTTACCATTTTTCGAAAATAAATTTTTCTGGGATCAAACCTAACTTTGGAATTGTTTTCCACAATTGGATGAATAGGATGGTGCTCTAAAAATTTTAATTTAGCCACTATGCTTGTCTTTTTTATTTGGAGGTACAAATACAAAAGCATCAAAATGTGTCTCAAAATCAACTTTAATATTATTTTCATGTTTAAATATGTTTTAATCCAAATTTCTACACATACCGATTCAGAATCAGAATCAGCAATCTTATTAGTCAATGTGTTTAGCGTTGATAATGAGGAAAAGTGGGAAACAAACTATAAAAGTTCTAAACAATTTTTAAATACCTTATCAACTCTTTCTTTTCCAATTTCAATGACTCGTTCATTTATCTCATATATTGCTTTAGATGTAGGTGTTGATTGAAATAATGGAATAGGTTCTACTTTTGATACAGTAATCTCAAAAACTATTTCTTTTTCTTTTCTTTGATTTTCATAATTTTGGAATTCATCATGATCAACATTTTTAGAATTAGATGAGCACTGTTTTATATTAGAAAATTAAATATTAACTGATGGTACAGATGAATCAAAATACAATTTCTTTTGATTTTTGTCATTTGCAGCTAATTTTAATAATTTATATTCTTTAACTTTTCTGTTTTGGCTACCACTATTTAATTTATTTTTAGTATTTCTCATATTTTAACAATAAACGTGAAATAATCTGATTTTAAAAATAATGTATTGAAAACAAATTACTCAATTTAAATTGACTCACACTGTGCTACTGTATACTAGTGTGCTGTTTGTTCAGTAGTGTTTTTCAAAAGTAACATTAAACATAATATTATTTATTGATTTATTATACCCAATAAATTGATCAATTATGTTTTTTTTTT